CCAGTCCTTGCCTCCCTGAACTTTTCTGCTATCCTCATCAATCACTACCATCAGACACGTAAACGTGCCTTCTACGCATGTCTTCACTAGAGTGACATCTTCATTTGCAACTGTGAACTCAGCACAACTCGTTGGCAGTGTTAGGTGATTGAATCCTGTGATGTGGGTTCCAATTACTGGTGTCTACCCAGTTGACAAGAGTTCCTTAAACCAACAGGAAACCAACACAAAAATGAAAATCTTCTATTAAGCTAAAGTAGATGTTCTGCTTTAAGAAAAGATTAAAATATTTACTTCCACTGCTTTTAATTCTGCAAGATTCTAGTATAAGGAGAGTATTCACCAGTTCAAAACTCCAAGCGATAATTACCTCATGCCCTCAGTGATAAAGAAATTACCCTACTGATCTTCCTAGCCTTATTGCTGAAAATGAGCCTATGGAAACACATTGCACCCCAGTTCTTTTAGATAATAAAATCTCAGTATCTTTACTAGTCAAACATAATGTTATCTAGAAATATGAAACAGCTATCCCAGAAATATGGCCTTAATCAAGAAACCAAAATTTCAACATAATGCTAATGCCAAAGAAGCAGATTTGGCAAGACTTTCATGCAAGAAACCTGTGCAGAGTAGCCTGCAATACCTCATCACGGTTCTGCCACTGATGCTGGGGAAGGCGGGAGGACATAAGAACCAGAACTACTTCACCACACTAGAAAGGGGGGGAATCCAGTCTGCATAAGCTCTGTGTAGCAGACACCTTTCTATCAAATCTTTATACAAGTGGCTCACAAGACTGATCTACAAGATTCACTGGGGAGGCTGAGGCAGGAGAACTGTTAACAAGTTCAAAGCTGATCGGGGCTACATACCAAGATCCTGTCTCAAAAACAAAATAAAATACAACAAAAGATAATCTGAGTTTCTCTCTTCTTTTATCTTTTGTCAGAAATATTAAACAGTATATTTAAGGAGAAAAGGAAAAATAAAAACTGAGTACTAGGAAATGTTTTCAAAACATTAAATGAATACTAGAAAATAAACCTATGTAACTAGTATTCAAAACCCAGCCAATACTTATTTTTCAATCTTAGAAACTGGTTAGTAATTAATGTTTATAATAAACATGTTTGCACAAAAATTACATTTCCACTCCTTTATTAAAAAACTGAAATCTTTTAACTTTACAAACTTTTGGGGGAAAATGCTACCATTATCCTTCTATGGCAGTTTTTATATAAAGTGAATATTTATATAAATGCCTAACAAAACAGGACCCACATCATACCCACTCTTCTACAGTTTGCATGCCTGTTCAACATACGCATGATTATTTAGCCATCCCTCCAACAGACAACGGCCAAGTTTCTTCCATTCTAAACCAGAGAAACTCTTCTTAAAGGGCCTTTCTGCCAGCTCAATAAAGGATGGAGAAGAATTAAAGATAAAGAGGCAATAATAAAACCCATCATGACTTTGAACGCCAACCTAACAGTTTAACTTAATTTAACAAAGACTCCCTGGTTGCATATACCCTTAGTCCCAGCCCCTGGAGGCTGAGACAGGAGGAACAAAAGCCCCAGTGACACCTACTTGGGGAGGCTGGGGCAGCAGGATCAGGAAGGAGATCATGGCCATCCCAGTTCAAGGCCAGAATGGCTCATGAGACATTATCTTAAAAGAAAAGGAATAACACAAGTTATTTTAAGAGGGGGGTGAGGGGCTGACTGTTTTCACCGATTCCAAACATGAAGATTATTAATATACTTAACCCTGACCCTGTCCATTTTTCTCAGATGCTGTCACTCACTGGGGACCGGGCTCATTCATGCTGTTAGCCTTTTCTTCAAGCTGCCAACTTTTCATTCTTTGATTCAGTGCCCCAGTATCAACCAGGACCAACCAGGACCAACCAGGAGAAAAGGATAAAACCTGGTCCACTTAGAGGGATTCCAAAGAAAGAAGGGCAATGACAGGCATTATCTACAGCCCTTCTCAAGCTAGGCTCAGAGAATTGTTCCCTAAGCCTTTATGAAAGGAACGCAGGTAACTTTCTGAAACTAAAGGCCAGCGAAGAAGATGCCACCATCAAAGCAAAAAAAGCCATTTTGTTGAAAGTTTAATTCTCTCTCATGGAACCCACACAGGGAAAGGCTAAGAGCTTAAGTACATGTGACTTACAAAAAGGACACTAGATGTCCACTCATACAAAGCTATGACGTTTTTCCCTTTACATTCAAAATGGCATGTTTCTATTTTCACCTGAAAACAGCAGAACTATTCAAACTGAATTGGCCTTAAAACCTAAACAAAGTCTCTCACAAAACTAATAATTCACACTTTACAAAGCAAAATCTAGCTGTGCTAAACTCCAATTAAAACACAGCTATCTAACCAGCATATTTTGTTAAGGCCTTGGGAATCTCTTGTCCACCCATGCAGATTTTTCTAATAAGCAAACAGTTGCTAAGTAAATACTGAAGGGCTTTATTATGCACTAGGAGGCATTTCACATAGCCAAAACATGCACATTTATTTCATGTTAAATTAATATTAACACAAGACAGGACTGACAATGGTACTGGGGTCCATGTCCACTAAAAACATCCAGTCTCTCACTGGATTTCATACCCACAGGCATTCTCAATATGATACTAACCACAAGGGCAAGCTGTTCAGAGCACCCCAAAAATACCCTTTGTATTTCACTCACACTATCATCAGAATAAAAAGTAGAATCTCCTTTTTAAAAATGACACACAAGAGGAAACATATTGGTCAGCATTACTCACACTTTACACTATGAGGGCAGAAGAGTTTTCCATGTGGACTAAAGGCAGTGGTAACACCATCTACCCTGGTCCATTTCACATTTTCACAAGAAAGGTAAACTGTTTCATCAAAATAACAAGACTTTATTTAGGACTTTGTTTTCTTCCCTTCTTCTTTCCATCTATTTTTTCCTTTTTTTTAAAATGTTTCTTTTTAAAAAATTAAGATGAAGTAAGATCTGATGTCACCGTGTGTAATTCCACCTACTTGGGAGGCTTTAAGTCCAGACTGGGCTACAGAGGGAACGCAAGCCTGGGCAACTTAAAGAGCCCTTGTTTCAAAAATTAAAGTGGGCTGAGCCAGACAGTGGTGGCCCATGCCTTGTATCCCAGTACTCGGGAGGCAGAGACAGGTGGATCTCTGTGAGTTCAAGGCCAGCCTGGTTTCTGAGCTCCAGAACAGGCTCCAAAACTACAGAGAAACCCTGTCTTGAAAAACAAAACAAACACGAACAAAAAAGGGGGGAACCTAATTCACCTAGAACCCTAAGTAAATAAGCAAGTAAATGTTTGTTTATCTTGTAACTTATTGCATTAAACCAGATTAACTTTTAAACTCCCACCTTGAAGAACAAGTTCAAAACCTAACAGCTGCATTATATATTAGGGAAAAATGGAAAGTCTAATGCAAAACAAAAGAAAAAAAGGAAGCCAACAAAGCCTACAATTTAACAGGTGGTTTCCAAGCCAAGAGGGATTTCTTGGGATATATGAAATCCTTCGTGTAGTTAACCTCAGTATATCGTAATCACGTTTTATAGACATTTACATAGGTCTATTCATTAAGAAATGTTTGGGCTTCACAGAAAAACTTCAAGCTTAGATGGGGGAGGAGCTCACGAGGCCCCACCCCTAACTGAAGAACTACCGACAGACAGCAGCTAGAATGCAGCCCGTCCTCCAGTGGATGGTCCTACCCATGCACATATGAGAAGCACTAGCTGGACTGCGTTATTAAAAAAAACTAAAAAAAAAAAAAAAAGCAACAAAAGAGGCATGAGTTTTGGAAGGGGGTTGTGTTGCAGGAAATTCTAAGTTGGAGGCAGGAAACAGATTGTATATACATGTACGAAATCCTCAAGGAATAATTTACAAATAAGTAACATGAATAAAGTTTACAAATAAAAATATTTAAACATAAAAAATGGAGCTTCTCAAATTTTGATGGTTTTGATGCAACTTCCTAAACCTTAATAATACATTGATATCTCTTAATACGATATGGGACGTTTTAAGCAAATTAAATGCCGCTTTTCAAAGAACTTCAAGGCACTTCAGGAGAGGGAATCAAACTTGAAAAACTACCCACAGGACTTTGTTTTGGGAGAGGTGGTTTTTTTCAAGACAGGGTTTCTCTGTAGCTTTGGAGCCTGTCCTGGAACTAGCTCTTGTAGACCAAGCTGACCTCGAACTCAGAGATTCGCCTGCCTCTGCCTCCCAAGTGCTGGGATTAAAGGTGTGCGCCACCACCGCCAGGTCCACAGGACATTTTCACACTGAACAATTAAGTCTTAACTCGAGCCCACTTCCTTACACAAAAATCCCATCGGAGGTGGAAAGCATTTTCCTCTCCTCCGGTAGTTTTAAAAAAAAAAAAAAAAGGCCTCGTTACTATATGCTTGAAGTTAAAATTTAACAGAAAGGCCTCTCTCTTTTCGACTACTAAACCCCAAAGCTGGAAATGCACAGGAAGTGCATCATCACCAACGTAGTCAAACTTGGACGCTCAAATGAGAATGGTGTGTCTGTGCGTGCGCGAGCACGTGTTTGTATGTGTGTATGTGTGTGTGTGTGTGTATTTCTGCAACATTCAAGCAATAGAGCTAAGAGGTAAAAGGAGTGACCACTCTATTTACAGTGCAATCCCCCCACCAAGAAATGGAAGTCCCCACGCTCTCGAGCTGCATTTAGCTTTAACACTTGCTCTCACTACGGGGTCAACAGACTGCCTCATCCCCTGCATCCTCGGTAATCCCCACGCACCCCTCTTGGTGAAAGTCAAAGGGCTCCAGACAAAAGACAACAAATGCACGTGACAAAAGTTTCTCCCCCTGGCTCCCCGCAGGCCCGAGGCTGCGCAGCTCCCGCGTGGCCGCCTTAGAGGCTGCCTCCGTCGCAGGCGTAGGCGGAAGCTGGCCAGGACGGAAACCTAGCGCGGCCTGTTACCTTTTCCTGCTCCTCGCGGAGCCGCGCCACCTCTGGGGCGCGCAGCGGCGCGGCGGCCGAGGCCTCGGAAAGGGACTGGGGCTCTGGCTCCGGCTCGGGCGGGGGTTCCATGCCCGGCGCCGCGGCCTCAGCGAGGCGAACAAGTCCTAAACAAGTGTTTATACAGACGGCGTGGCCGGCGGCTGCCCAGCGCCCGCGCGCTCGCCCTCATGCACC